TAGATGTATTAGGGTCTCAAAGTGAGCCACGTTTCACATACACACATTTCTCTGTGTAGCCTTGGTTTCTCTGTGTAGCCCTGGCTGTTCTGGAACTCATTAGACCAGACAGGCCTTGAACTCAGAGATCTGCCTACTTCTGCTTCTGTGCCGGGATTAAAGGTGTTTGCCACCACTGCCTGGTTCCTGTGTATATTTTAACAACGCAAAGGTATGAACCATACATGGTGATCTGAAAGGTTTCATGAAAGAATTCATAAATGCATTGAAGGATCACAACAAGCACACATAAAAACCTGTGTATTAAACTACAATCAGAGATGAGTACAGGTAGTGTGTAGTCCTTCATCATTTGGTTACTTGTTTATTATTATTATTGGGCCATAGTTAGTATAGTTATTTACTTTTCTTTCCTCGTCTTCCTCCAGACCTCTCTTTGGTAATGTTTCTGCACCATGGCTTCATCACTGTTAAAAAATAAAAATTAAAAAAAAATATATCAGTATCAGATATAGATGTCTGGATCCTGACTGCCACCTAGTGGAATTTTTGAGTATTAATGTACCCATAATTGTTTTATTTTCACCAAAATAGCTAAATATGGCCATATCAAATTATGGGCTACTGATCTCTAAAGAGTGAAACTCTGGAGCTCATTTTGGTTTTTGTAAATATCAGAGTTTCTATGGTCTTGGGAGACTGCTTAGTGCGGTGGTTCTCAACCTTCATATGCTGCGACTCTTTAATACAGTTCCTCATGTTGTAGTGACCCCAACCATAAAATTATTTTCATTGCTACTTTATAACTGTAATCTTGCTACTGTTATGAATGGTAATGTAAATATATGCTATGTGACCCAAAGGTTGAGAACTGCTTGCCTAGTGGGCAAATCATTTGTCATGAAAATACAATGGCCAGAATTCAGATTCCTAGAACCTATGTGGAGCTGGGCATGGTAGCAAATCTTCAATCCCAATGCTTCCCTAACAAGATGGGAGACCAGGACAGGAAAATGTTGGAAATTATCAAGCCAGCCAGGAAGACTGGTGCTTCGAAGTGAACAAAAGACTGTCTCAAACATAGCGGGAGACCGGGACTATCGCCTGAGGCCTTTCTGATCTCCACATGTATGCTATGCCTCGTGTGCCTCCCTTTCCACCCAAACACACACACTCAAACACTCAAGCGTGTGCGCACACACACAAATTAAAAAACAAAAGTCAAGTGGCTCCTTTTTCCCTTTCTATGTGAGAAAGCATATCCACTGTCACTTGTGGTTGATCAGTTCAAATAATTCTAAAAAATTGATTGTCCTGTTATATATCATGCAGTAAAAATTATGTGAAGTATTTTTCCCTTTTGTCTTTGTTCTAAGAGAAATAAGCTATAGCAGAGGAATACAGTGACTCCACCTTCAAAGGCCATCTTAAGGAGCTGGAGATGGCTCCGCGGTTAAGAGCACTAGGTGCTCTTCCAGAGGCCTGGGGTTCAATTCCTAGCCCCCACACAGACAGCTTATAAGTATCTGTAATTCAAGTCCCAGGGGATCCAACGCCCTCTCTGGTATCCATGGGCAGTGTATGCAGATGGTAGGGACACATGCAAGCAGAACACCCGTACACATTAAAAAAACAAAGACCACTTTAAGACCACTGCCACGGCTACAGCAGAAAGCCACAGAGCCCCAGCATACAGCAGTGGGCCAGTGAGGCCCACCTGGCTCTCCTGCCTGAGTGCAAGGCTAAGTAACGCTTTACCGGCTTACTCATGCTTTTCTTCCCACTCTTTGCATCTTTCTTGCTATGTCTGACGCATCCTTTTGTGAGAGCCAAAGTTACATTTGAAGTTTTAATTACTATGCCTTAGAGATTCATGAAACAAAAATGTTTCTGATCTGCAAGCCCCTTGCCCAAGGAAAGATAGATCTTTAAGGTGGTATTGTGTTCCCCAAAATACTGTGCACCCTAATAAACTTATCTGGGGTCAGAGACAGAACAGCTACAATATTAAACATAGAGGATAGGCAGTGGTAGCACACGCCTTTAATCCTAGCATTCCAGAGGCAGAAATCCATGTTTCTGTTCAAGGATACAGCCAAGCATGGTGACTCACGCCTTTAATCCCAGAGAGTGAGCCTTTAATCCCAGGGAGTGAGGCAGAAAGCAGAAAGATATATAAGGCGTGAGGACCAGAAACTAGAAGCATTTGGCCTGGTTAAGCATTTGGCTGGTTAAGCTTTCAGGTTTCTAGCAGCAGTTCAGCTGAGACCCATTCTGGATGAGGACTTAGAGGCCTCCAGTCTGAGGAAACAAGAACAGCTGAGGATCTGGCCAGGTGAGGTAGCTGTGGCTTGTTCCGGTTCTCTGATCTTCCAGTTCACCCCAATATCTGGCTCAGGTTTGATTTCATTAATAAGAACTTTTAAGATTCATGCTACAGATCTTGGAGGGTACTATTTATGGGAGGTAACAAGCTACATGTTTTCATTCCCCTAAACAAGTTTGACTCATCTACACTGGCTGTTTGATCACATGTGGGTGGGAGGTATGTAGCAAGTAAATATATCAGGATGTATGCTTGTCCCTGATTGGACCTGATGGGAAATGCAATGAATTACGGGTTTTCCTTTTTAAGCCCCTGCAAAACTTAATTTGGGACCATTTCCCAAGAAGCTGGCTATGGACCTGGCCAGATCCCATCCACCTGGCCAGTATTTAATTTGGCTCTAAACTGTGGTAGAGGTGTTCTTTTCGACCAATGGGATTAGCACTTTCTGCTGTCTTTTGTTTCTAAGGGCCATGTGGGCATCTGTAATCTCACATTATATCTGTTCTTAACAAGCAGTGGCTATCACCCAGAGTTTTCCTCCATTCTCTATCATTACCAACACGCACACACACACACACACACACACACACACACACACACACACACACACAAAACCATTCAACATCTATTCTAGCCAGGCTATGAATACTTTTCCCCATATTTGTATTTTGAAAATTGTCAAATATACAGCAAAGTTGAGGTTAGTACCATGAACTGAACTATAACACATTCTCTATTAAATTCAGTAACTGCTAACATTTTGCTTTTTAAATTTCATGTGAACACTCATACATATGTTATGTTCATATATATGGATATACAAGTAGTGTAAACATTTTACATAATTTTTGTTCTTTGAGAGTCTCATGTAGCCTAGGCTAACTGAACTCACTACAATGCTGAGGCTAGCTTCGGCTTCCTTCTCATAACTCCCTCCGCCAGGTGTTGGGATTATAGGCCTGTGCCGCCACACCCAGCCATGTAATATAGTATTTTAATATCTAAACGTGGGCCTTTCCCTCAGTAACTATAAATTTCACACCTGATAAAACTAGCAATTTAACATCATATAACAGTGGATCCAATCATCATCTAATACTGTCTGTTCAAATTTCCACACATATGGTTTTTTTGGGGGGATGGGGATGGGTGGCGAGTAGGTGGGGGTGGGTGGTGGTGATGCCAGGACCTCGTGCTTCTCAGTGAACACACTACCTGTGCTAACATCGCTAGCCTGGCCTGTCCAGTCAACATTTACACACCACATTATTATTTCTCTTTTTGGTTGGTTGGTTCTTCAGATAGGCTCTTGCTATGTAGCCCTGGCAGACCTGGAACACACTAACCAGTCCCAGCGGTCTCCAAACTTCTGTCGATTCTCCTACCTCTGCCTCTGGCATGGTGGCTGGAGCAGTTTGTTGAGAGCTGGCATCATAAACTGCAAGCTCAGAGCAGAGAGCTCAAACCAGAAGTGGCATGTAAGTCTTTAAACTCTCAAAGCCTGCTTCAGTGGCATGCTTCTCCAGGAAGCACCTCTAACCCACTACAGACAGCACTGGAGACCAAGTGTTCAAATGCCCACGACGATGGAAAATATTTTCCATTAAAAAACCACTTTACTCAGGCTGGAGAGATGGCTCAGGTTAAGAGCACTGGCCGCTCTTCCAGAGGTCCTGAGTTCAATTCCCAGCAACCACATGGTGGCTCACAACCATCTGTAATGAAATCTGGTGGCTTCTTCTGGTGTGCAAACACACATGCAGGCAGAACACTGTATACATAGTAAATAAATAAATCTAAAAACAAAAACAAAAATCCACATTACTCTTGAATAATTTGAGTCAATAGAACATCCACATTCTGGACCTGTGGTTCTTTCCTCACAGCCACTCAACATGTTCCTTTGTGCATCTATTTCCTTTAAACTGGACGGCTTGATTATAGTCCTTCACAGGTGACAGTCACTCACGGTGTATCAGTCAAGAGGTGCATAAAGTCAGGTTGTCTCACAATTGGTGGTGCTGAAGTTGATCACTGGGTAAGTAGGTTAACGCCAGATTTCTTCACTGTAATTACTAATCATCTGTGGGATATGATGCTTCATACTTGTGTGTGATACCTTGTCTCTAAACAACCTCCCTTTCAGCACTTGGCTTTGTAGCGTCTATGGGTGTTGTCTAAGCACCTCGAATAGCCACTTTTCCCGTTCTATCACTCCATCCACCCTTATTGGCTGTTTATTTCGTGTACAACAACAACAACACTTCCCTTCTCTTGACTTACAAGGTCTTCAGGCAGTCGTGGCTGGCCTGAAACTCGCTAAGCGGACCAGACTGGCCTCAGCTCCAGATCCGCCTGCCCCTGCCTGCCCGGGGGCGGACCGCGGGCGCCATCACGCCCGACCCATTTTCGAATCCCTTCCTCATCTCATCACGCCTGGCCGGGAAGGCTCGCGAGCCTACGCCCCCGGGAACCTGAGGCCCGCACCCAGCCCAGCCACCCGCTCGCCGCTCCCACCACAAGGCGGAACTGACGTAAGACGAGCCTGCCGGCTGCGCCTGGCGCAGCCCAGGTACGTCACTTCCTGCCGGCTAGGCCACACCCACTCTGCCTCCTGAGGCCGCAGACGCTGGCAGCTTAGAGGACGCCGGGAGTCACGTGACCCAAGCGCCATTTCGCGAGAGTTCGTGTGTCTCGCGAGAGCTCCCTCGCCTTGTCTTCCCCTCTTGCCGGAGCCCGGCTTCTCTCCCCTCCCCCCTGGCCGCCGGCGGCGTTTTCCCTTCTCCGCCCGAATCTTCTCGTCGTCGTGGGTATTTTCCCCTGCTGCAGCTGCCCTTGCCGCCGCTGGGCTCGCGTCCCCGACCCCTGCCCGCCGTCCCGTCCCCAACCCCGCCCAAGGTAACGAGCCTCTGCGGGAGGGTCAGGCCTCGCCGGGCCGCGGCCTGGCGTGAGACGGAGGCCCAAAGCCCCGGCCTGGCAGCGGGGTCCTGGCGCGGGCGCTGTGTGGAGCCGGCTGCTCTGGCACCCCGAGTGGGCGGCCCTGGCCGGCGGGGAGGCTTCCGGGCCGAGGCGGCGAACGTGGCCGTCCCAGGGAACCCGTCGGGTCGGGGAGCCGCCCGCGCCGTTCCGAGAGGTCCACTGTGAGGATGCGGGGCTCCGCAGTTTCCATGGAAGCTGAGAGGCTTTGAGTCTCCTGGCCTGAAACGATGGGCAGAATGGTGGCGGGCTTCGGGGGGCCGGGTCACTGGGAGGAGAGCCGCTTGCCTTGTGTGAACCCTTCAGACTGGAGGTGGCTGCCCGGGTTCCAGGCTTCCGGTGGGCCGGAATGTTCTGGGGATGGTCCTCGGACCCGTATGTTTGCGTCCACTTTTAGGGAGGGTGTAGCTGGTGCTCACTTTTTAGGACATTGAGCTGCGCTTGTCAAAGGCGGGTTCCTAAGATTGCCTGTATGTGAACAGTATGTGTGTTCCGAGGAGCTGCGCACACTTAGAGAGTTGAATGTAGAAGTAGTCATTTGTGTAGTTTTATCTGACTTTGGAAGTGCTCGTCCGTGCTAATGTTTGTGATTTTGACCTTTCCAACTGTTGGCCGGGCAGTGGTGGTGCACGCCTTTAATCCCAGCACTGGGGAGGCAGAGCCAGGCGGATCTCTGTGAGTTCAAGGCCAACCTGGGCTACAGAGGGAGATCCAGGACAGCCAGAGCTATACAGAGAGACCCTGTCTTGAAAAAAAAAAAGAATATGTCAAAGTATTGTTGAGCCACACACTCACTGCCTTCCTATGTTAGTTAAAAGAACTTTCCTTTCCTTTAGACTTTCTGGGAGATCTTTTTGTATAGAATTTATCTGGCATGTTTGTAATTTATTCCTTTGAAGTTTGTGACTAAATCTGAAGAAAGTAAAAATGATGACGAATAAAACTTCGAGTTGGGAGCAAAAATGATTAATTTAGGCAGGTTAGAGGAACATTTTTGTAATTTGATATTTGACTCAGTTTGTATGGTCTTTCGTGTCCCTCAGATGTCAGAGGATCTAGCAAAACAGTTGGCTAGCTACAAAGCTCAACTCCAGCAAGTAGAAGCTGCTTTGTCTGGAAACGGAGAAAATGAAGATCTGCTGAAATTGAAGAAGGATTTGCAAGTAAGTATAGATGGACAGTTGTAGTTGATGTGGTTTGAAAAGAATATTTGTCTTTTTAACATGCATTGTTCAGAATCCATAGGCACTCAAAGCACCCATGAAGAAGGTACTCCTTACAACATGCTTTTATTTTTAAAAATTTGACAAGGAAACTTAGTTGAAAAGGTAACACTATTAAAGGAGGAATGTGTAACCAGATTAAGGTCCTTTTTAGTGACACAGGATTATTTGAAAATAACATGGGACCTTATTTTTCAGCACTCACAATGTGTGTACATAAAATGTGTACAGAGATAACATTCTGTCTGTGTAGGTGTTACATAAGTATTTGAACTTCAGACTAGGCTTTGTAGTTGTTGAGCCTTGTCTAAGTTGAATTGGTGTGAAAAGGAGATCTAACTTTTCATGGAGGATAGGAAGTAGGAAACTTGTAAGGACATGCACTGGGGCTTCAGGACAAACTCAGTATCTGTTGCTTCTCAGAACACCAGGTTAAGAAAAATGCCAGCCGGGCAGTGGTGGCACACGCCTTAATCCCAGCACTCGGGAGGCAGAGCCAGGCGGATCTCTGTGAGTTCGAGGCCAGCCTGGGCTACCAAGTGAGTTCCAGGAAAGGCGCAAAGCTACACAGAGAAACCCTGTCTCGAAGAAAACTAAAAAAAAAAAAAAAAATTCTGAACCTGAACCTTTAGAAGTTTTCATGGTGTTTTGGTGATCTCTGCTTGTTCTATGCCCCATCTAAACAGTCCTTCCCTTTACCTTCTTGAGGGCCATTAATATCATTAGATTTTGCCAGCTTTATACACCTTTAGGAAGTGTACTCAGGAAGCAGAAGTAGGCAGAGCTTTGAGTCCCAGGCCATCCAGGGCTACATAGTGAGACCCTATCTCAAAACAGAAACCTCCACAAAGTTTCAAATGTAACTTACTTGAGAGGGCTTAATAGGTTTGAAAGTCTGAAAGATCTTATTTGTAATTTAAAATGAGTTGGACATTTTCAAACTCAGATTCTAGACTTACAATAGTGTAAATGTTATTTTTAAAAACAGAAAGTATGTGGGATAATTTTACTTTGAAGAAGACTCGCCTTCAGTGCTTGGAAGCCAGGCCTGTGGAGTGCATTTGCCGTTCAGTAAGAAGAGGCATTTAGAAAACAGCCTCTCTTACCCCCAGCTCTTGTGTAGACAACAACCCAGTGTCTCCTCCCTACTCACTGGATCTGCTCACCTGCACTGAGTCTGCCTGAGGTGACAGAGCAAATTAACCTGCTCCATAGACCTCTGCTGACTTAGAAACAGTCCTATCCTTGTCTCTGAAGAACAACACTTCTGTGTGCCTCCTGGGCAGTGGGAGGTCTGTGTGGAACTGGGGGGGGGGGGGTTTCCAACAGCGTTATTACCAGGTCTTTTTAATGTTTTTAGGGTCAATTGTCTTAGAGTATGGGCTCAGCTATTTTGATATGAAATCTATAATGGAAAGTATGATAGGGAGAACGTTATGGTAGATACAGTATTTACCTAAAAGGCTTATCTGGGGCTCAGTTAATGATCTGGAGGCTGAGGATGTAACTGCTTAGAATACACAACACCCTGTGGTTCAATTCCCAGCACTGGGTGGGGAAAAGTCAACAAAATACAAAAAGCAAATCAAGCAGAGGCAGGCAGATTTCTATGTGTTTGAGGCCAACCTGGTCTGTAGAGTTCCAGGCCAGCCATGGTGACTTAGGGAGACTGTCTCAATAAAAAACCCAAAGCAATAACGACTTTGAAGTCCTTTATATACAGTTTTTCTTTAGCCAGTTAGAACAGCACTGTCTGTTAGAACTTGCCTCTGCGATGGTAACTGTGTTCTTTGTCTGCTGTTCAGTGCCACAGCCACTAGCCACACATAGCTACTGAAGAATTGAAATATGGCTAGGGTAACTGAGGAGCTAACATTTTTTGTTGGCAAATAACTACCATTGATTAAATTCTGGATGGTGCAGATTTAGAAGCTTAAGTGTAACATAAATATTGACAGGATAGAATTCTTTGACCAATTTTCATCATTTTTTTTTTCTTTTTTTCTTTCCCTCTTACTCCATTATGAGAAGTTTGATTTTGGTTACCTAGGTATGGTTTGAACTGAAAACTATTGAAAGATGGAAATCATCACTTAAGATTAGGTAAAATTAGAAAAATATTCGGATATATGCTTCCAGCCTGGTTGTTTGCATTGAGACTAGGAAATAGCTTCTGTTTTGGTATGGGTCTCCCTTTTACCTACTTGCTGCTCTTAGGGACATATGTCTTGTTACTTAAATCTTTAGGGTGATTATTAAGCTTGTGGCTTTTACATTTTCTTTTTGAGGGGGGCATCATAATGGCTTCCTTAATAACATAATTCCTAAATAAACATAATTCCTTATGTTTATTTTTTCAGTAAGGTTTCCATGTTTCTGACTTTCATATAGAATAAAAAATTCGTTTTTTCTCTTAGAAGAAAAAGTAGGTATAGTAAAATCAGACTAGCCCTTTAGTTCCCCGGGCAGTTTCTAGTAATCACAAAAATGGTCAATTTATTGGGCTGTATTGCTGAATAAACTGGTTCTAAAGGAGGCAGGGGTCAAGTCACTTGTCTCATATATTACAGTGGCTCTCTGCATCCCCGAAACGCCTTCCTTCAGTAAGCAGAGTGCTTGAGTGCACCCCCTTTGACCTGCTGATATGTAGATCACAACTCCTGATGCTTCCTGGAATTGCCGATTACTGTAACTGCTGCCCATCTGTCAATGAAGGAGCAGTTTCAGAACTCAGACTTGGGGGAGGAAAAGTAATTAATGGTATGTACCTTCAAGAACCCCCTCATACATAAAATAGTTTTTCTGATACTTTGGTCCATAGACACATGTGAAGACAAAAATTGAGAAGGTTCTTTAGAAATTACTGGGAGGGACATGTGGAATAACAAGAGTTACAGGACTTGAGGAGTAAATGCTCTGTACTTTGTTGTTTATAAGACAGGCCATCATGGCACAGGATTTTGAAAATTATGCACAGCTTTTCGGGATTCTTTTCTTTGAATATATTTCCTTTCGAAAGTGGTGGGGAAATGTTCTCTCAAATCTGAGACTTCTTACAGAGGTAGAACACATGTTTGTGCTTTAAACACAATCCCTGGAAGGAGATGCAGGCATTTAATGACAAAGACTTTGTGAGGTCAGGCCTGTTTATAGTCCTGGCTCTGGAGGTGGTTAACTGAGAACAAAATTGGGTAATTTACTCTTCTTTTTGTATTACTATTATTGGAAATGCTCCTTTATTTACGTAGAATTGTCTAATTAAAAAATATTTGAAGCGCTCTCTGGTTTGCACAAGGTCCTAGTTTCAGTCTCTAGTGTTGCAGAACTAATGAATATAAAGCCGTGCATCACCTCCCGTGACTTAGAAAAGAAAAAGATGTCTACATGGCAAACCTTAGAGGTAGCTTTCTGTTGAGTTCTTAACTAAATCCGAGGCTTACTGGCTTTTTTTTTTTTTTTTTTTTTTTTTTTTTTATTCACAAAACTGACCTTTCTCCGGGTACTTAATACTCTCCCCCCCTTTCTTCCTTTCTTTCTTTTTTTTTTTTTGGTACAAACACTAGTTTTTTAAAAGTAGCCAGGAAGATTTAGAATCTTTAGGAGACTAATATTTAACTTTCCTTGGCTACTGAACCAAAACAACTATTACAATAACTCAATGGATGCCTGAAGAAACTAAGAGTTTAATTTTGCTATATTTGTCCCCAAACATAGAATATATTTTAAATGCAACTGCGTGGGAAACTAGTAGGCAAATTCTTTGAAAATCAGGTAATGGATAATGTATGTCTGCATTAGAGTAAGAATGTAGCAGATAAGTAATTAAGTACCTGTTTATATTTTTGGCAAGTTTTTAACCATCCCTAACACACTCAGTCAAACTAATACAGAGAAGCCTGAATTAGAAAGGTATCTGCCATACAGAGAAGCACTACCTGCTTCTGTGGGTTACCTGTATTTTTTCCTTTAAAATGAAGCTGTGCTACTGTGCTTGATAAATAGGTGTAGACAGTTTTGAATCTAACTTGATGATTAGTACTTAAATGGGGTGAAAAATTCCTGGTTACTTTTATTTATGCTTTACAGTATTTTAGTAGAAATGGGTATAAGTGGAAACATTGTGTGCTAATGAGACTGTTTCCAGTGTTTTGGGGACTTCATAGAGGAGAAGTATGTTGGTTACACAGTTGATATTTCTGCCAAGTAATGCCCTATAAAACTAGTTGCATAAAAGATACAAGATGGTTATAAAAGTAACCTTGAATCAAAATCAGTCTCTATTTCTCATCTGTAGAGAAATCTGTTCAGTCACAAAAGGCATTTAGAAGTCAGTCACGGCAGAAACTTGTCTACTGTGATTTCTAATGGTTTTTACAGTTAAGTTGAAGGTGCCTGTGTAGGCTTAGATCACAGCTTCACTATTAGTCTCTAGTGCTGTTCCTCAGTCTTCTCAGTAGCTATGAACTGTACATGTAGCATGCATAACTGCTTTGTGGTATGAGAACTACTAATATTATAAAACCAGAAAGTAGTTGACAGTATTAAATTACAAGTGTTACGGCTTTTGCTTTCTTTTTTAGGAAGTTATAGAATTGACCAAAGATCTTCTGTCAACTCAACCTTCAGAAACTCTTGCAAGTTCAGACAGTTTTGCTTCTACTCAGCCCACTCATTCATGGAAAGTAGGGGACAAATGTATGGCAATCTGGAGTGAAGATGGACAGTAAGTGTAGAAAAACAACCCTCTAACTATAACATGAATTAATAAGATACAATGGTAAGATGTTTTTATTCAGTTTGGACTGCCCTATTTCAATCATCTGTGTCGGTAATGTGATTTATAAAACTAGTGTAATTCTTGGGTGGTTGCCATTAACACAGCTTCATTTTAGGTTTAGTTTAAAATTTGGGAGAAGAGTGGTTTGGATCCTAAAGGAAAGAAAGATGAATGACTGTTTTCTAATGTTTCTAAATGTTCCAAATTGATGTCTCCTCAAGTTAAAAAGTGAATGGCTGGTAATCTCATTGCACTCAGGTGCATACATTGAAATTAATCATTTAAGAATTAGCTTTTCTCAAAGAGATTAAGTACAGTGAGTAGATGTTTAAGAGATTTTTGTGGTGGAAATTTTAATTAGGGCATTTGATACCAGGTTATTCTTTTGCCAAAAGGGCCATTTGATTGCAGAAGTTTATTTTAGAGACATGATAATTGAGTCACTACAGTATAAGTCTTGTAGGCTGAGTACTAGATCTTTACTCACCTGCTTACAGCCATGATATCTTTACAGGTGTTATGAAGCGGAGATTGAGGAGATAGACGAAGAAAATGGCACCGCTGCAATCACCTTTGCTGGTTATGGCAATGCCGAAGTGACACCATTGTTGAACCTTAAACCCGTAGAAGAAGGAAGGAAGGCTAAAGAGGACAGTGGCAACAAACCCATGTCAAAGTAAGTGACGTGTTTTTCCCAGGACAGACAACGCACTGTGCACAGGCTAGCTTGGACTCCTCAGTCTTACCTCGGTCTTCTGAATCACTACGTCTGGCTTAAGTAACTGACTTGAATGTATCATGTTAGGGTTTCCCATTTGGGTAGTTGAAGTAATCTGCAAAGAGAATCCATGCAGGCTGCATGGAGTGAGGTTATAACATTATAACATTGGCTACATCAGGTCAGTATGTGTGCCTAGGTAAAGTGGATACTGTTCATACTAATGTAATCAATAAAGAGGCACTACACTAAGAGCATCCACTATTTTTGTAAGTCAGGTCCTAAGGTTAGACCACAGTGAAGACCACCTTGAGCCTTGTCCCTGCTGAATCTGTATTTAGAAAAAAACCACATAATCAAGGAAGTGTCCTAGGGCTGGGGATGTAGCTTAGGTGTGGAGCCTTTGCCTAACTAGTATACTTGAACCTAGTACCACAAAAGGTTTGGGGTGGGGGAGGGGGGCATAAACAGTCCAGTGTGGAAGTTGTGAAGGGATATGGCAGTAGTTTTAAGGGGACAAAAAAAAGGTACTATGGTTACCAGGACAGTTTCCTTAGGAAAATAACATCTAAACTAACAGTAGAAACAAGGGTTAACAAAGTACGCAATGAAAGCACTGTGACATTGGTTATGTAGGTACTTTTGCTTGACTTGTCTCCCTAATTGATGTTGAACAAACTAACATCTGCCTGATCTGTGAAATAGTGTGTAACGGTTCTTAGACTTTTCAATAAGTTTCCTAGAGGCAGTTCTGATTTAGGGGGGAAAAAAAAGTGGGAGGTACAGAAGTAACAAAATCTTGGGGTTAAAAACTAGGGACCAGAAAGTAGATATTAGATAGCAGAAGACAAGGTCAACACTTAGTCACTTCTGAGTCCAAGTGCTTATTTGTGTGTAAACACAACCTGCTGAGACCGCTGTCTGGTCTTCTCTTTTTTGTTGTTTATTTGTGTGTGTCTAATAAATATGTTTATGATTTTGGAAGAATTAAAATTTAAGTTGCTACATAAATGTTGAATTTAGAAAAATACCAGCATTTAAACTCCCTGAATAAGAAAATCAGATTGTTTTACTCTTGCCTTCTCTGTCAAAGACCACTTAGCCTTCTTTAAAACCCTTCTTCTTGTCAGTTGGTGTCAGCAAGTGGAGGTTATTGGTAGTTTAGGCCCTGGTTCTACTTAGAATCCTAGCTTGGGAAACCCAGGTTTTTGCTGTTCATCACAGAGAGTGTTGGTTGTGCTGTCTTCCTTCAGTATTGATGAAATAGTTTATCTGCATTACATCCCAGGTGTTGCATACAGTACACTAGCTGTATTTTTAGAAATTGGTAAAGGGTTAGCCAGCCATTAATGTTGATTTTATTGTTTTTTTCATTTGTTTGTAAGACTGGGTTTCATGCAGCCTATGCTGACCTTGAACTCTGTAGCAGAGGCACAACTTAAATTCCAGATCCATCTGCCTCCATCTCCCAAGTAGTAGGTCACTTCTGGCCTTCTTTTATAAAAGAAAGTGTCTTAGTACTCAGTGAGTGGCGTTGTCTGTTTTACATTTATTTATTGTGTGGATTTATGTGCACTACAGCATGAGTAGAGGCTAGAGGAGGACTTGAAGGGGTTGATTTTCCTTCTGCCTTCCGGTTCTCAGGGTCAAACTCAGGTTAGCTCATGAGGCATGGCTTGGTGGCAGATACCTTTACATGCTGAGCCATTTCTCTTTAGTTCTGTTTTTCTTTCTTTAAGACAGGATCTGGTGTATCCCAGATTGACTTCCAGCTTGCCAAGGAGGACTCTGAACTTCTGATCCTCCTATTTCCACCTAGGGTTACAGGCATGCCACCACACCCAGATTTTGGCATTGATTTTTAATGAAAAGTTGTGCTTTTGTTAATAAATTAGTATGTAAGTTTTGATTGTACACTTACAAGGAAGTCATATTGTAAATGTTAATTATTGGTATTTATGTCTGGGTTTTCCACACAGAAAAGAAATGATTGCCCAGCAACGTGAATATAAAAAGAAAAAAGCTTTGAAAAAAGCGCAGAGAATAAAAGAGCTTGAGCAGGAAAGAGAGGACCAGAAGGTGAAGTGGCAGCAGTTCAACAACAGGGCTTACTCCAAAAACAAGAAGGGCCAGGTGAGCACCTCCTCATCACTGGGTTCATCTGAAAGTGCAGCTGTCGGTAAAGTGACTTCAGAGTAAGAAAGGAGTGTGGATTTTCCAAAGGGCCAATTCTTGATTTATCAAAATCATTAGTCACTTTCTGCAATAAAAAATGAGCTTATCAGTTCTCTTGGTATGCTTTGTTGGGTAGAAAATAACTGTAGATTTCATATACTCGATATAAGGATGACCTGATGCTTACCCATAGCTTGGTTTTCACTGTTGTCAAGATAGCTGCTCTGTAACAAATTGCTAAATTGGTCTTTTAATAAAAAATCCGGAGCTAGATAGTAGGGTAATACTGAAAGAACAAGGCACTGCCACTTCTCACCTCACCAGCTCCACGATCCTCTGACTTAATGCCTCTGAGTCCTCAGCAGAAGAGTTCCAGCTGAAAAGGCCTCTAGCCAAAGGGGCTTCAGCCACAAAGGGCTTTCTCAGCTGAAAGGCGGCCTTAGTTCCTGTCTCCTCACGCCTTATATACCTTTCTCCGCCCAGCCATATTCTTTCCTAGCGCTAGGATTAAAGGCATGTGTGCTTCTCAAATACCGTAGCAGAGGCAGGAGATCTCAAGAACTGGGATTAAAGGTGTGTGCCACCACTGCCTGGCTCTTGTTTCTCTCCTGGACTGAGTTAATCTCATGTAGACCAGGGTGGCTTTGAACTCACAGAGATCCAGATGGATCTCTGCTTTCCAAGTGCTGGGATGAAAGGTGTGTGCCACCACTGCCTAGCCTCTATCTAGGCTGGCTCTGTCCTCTGATCCTTGGGCAAAGTTTGTTAGTATATCATATGTGTGGCAGAGGGCAGGGAACCAGAGCATGTTTCACCATAGAATTCATTTACAGCCAGAGTTCTGTTAGACCAAAATAGAGAGCCCATGCTTTAAATAGGAATTTGGGAGTGAAAAACCTCACATTTTGAGACAGGTAGCTTTATATTAGTATGTAGTGGTATTTTCTACAAAAGCCACGTGTTTTATAAATATTGGAACTTCAATATATTTTAACATTAAAAAGGTTTAGATTTGTTTTCACACACTGATCAAAAATGGTTTTCCTTTTGTTCCCAGGTAAAGAGGAGTATTTTTGCTTCGCCAGAAAGTGTAACAGGCAAAGTTGGAGTAGGAACTTGTGGAATTGCTGACAAGCCTATGACACAGT